TTCATACCTACTACGAGAAACAGCGCTAAGGGAATTATGAAAGATATTAAAAAAATACAAGAAAAGATACCGGCCGACCCGTATGAAGCAGAACTCCTTATGATGGCAGAGATGGTAGCTACTGAAAAGAAGACTAACGACAGCGATTCGGATTCGGTGGACGATAGGTAAGAAGAAGAAGAGGTATTTATGTAGATTTAAATCCAAAAGTATTCGCGACAAATAAATTGTGCACTATATATATCATTATATTCTGTTTATCTCATACACCAAAAGCACATATTTTTGTTTAGGGAAGATGACACAGCTGGTCAAGACAATTTACATAGTGATGGTTTCAGTCCGGAAGCGGTTGATTCCAATAACGCGTTTGGGGATGACATGTTGCAAATGGCGTTAAAAATGGCAACAGGAGAATTAGACGAGCCGGCAGTCGATCTGGAAGCTGCCTTGACGCCGAACACGATTACAGCTACGCAAGCACCACCGCAACCGGAGACCACTATAGACAACGACGGTATGCAGTATATCATTCAGACAATATATATAATATTAATAACTGTGTTTATTGTTAGTTATTACTATCAACTGTAGAAATGATCAGCATGATCAGTTTCCTTGGAGATAAACCATATGAAAAATAAAATATAGAATTATTTCTAATAAAATATCTTTATGTAGTGCAATCGGAACGATTGATGGCCGCCTCTAGAGGAAGGAAACGTGTGATGCCATATAAACCACGATCAACACCGACCAAACGAATGAGACGCGTCTCTGGTACAAATGACATGCCGTTAATGCCACCACCGGAACCACAACCACCTCCGCAGCCGCGTATTATGGAACCAATGGAAAAACCTGACGCAAATATGGCATTAAAATATACATTTGGTGTAAATGCATGGAGACAATGGGTTTGTAATTTTCGTTTATGTAATTTAGGGGACATGAAGCACTATATGTATGATATGGATAATTTTTAAACCATAGGTAATTGGAAAGAATGCCGAATTAGAAAAACAAATTACGCCAATGAGGAAAATAAAGTTGTTCAAGACAGATCTTTTACAACTTACCGCGGATGAATTAAATTATTCTTTATGCCTTTTTGTGAAGGAAGTAAGAAAACCAAACGGTGCAGAATATGCTCCTGATACAATATATTATCTTTGCCTGGGTAAGAAAATTTCTCTGCTTTATAATATATTTTTACTTTATTATTGTAAGAGTTTTAATATTGATGTAAATTGTATCAGATATTTCTTTTGTAAGCTCTTGTTTTAGTGTCTCAAACATTTTTTTCATGAACTTATTTTAGGAATACAGCAGTACCTGTTTGAAAATAACAGGATTGATAATATATTCACAGACTCATATTACGAGAAATTTACAGACTGTCTGAACGAAATAGCAAAGAAGTTTTCCGCATTATACAACGAAGCACGTGAGTATGCCTTATTATTCGTCGCAATTATAAATTTCTCTTTTTTATCAATTTCACCATTTTGTCTTTACAAATGCTATGTTGCCTTCATTTTATAGAATATATAGTGACTAGAGTGGAGGAAGAGCATTTATGGGAATGCAAGCAATTGGGCGCCCATTCTCCACATGTTTTATTAAGCACCCTTATGTTTTTCAACACAAAACATTTTAATCTTGTGGTGAGTTTAATAAGATGGACAATAATGATTATATAACTAATTGTCACAATATTTTGTTACAATACTAATAAATATTCTCTTCAAATTCTGGAATATCTTTTTCAGACAGTGGAAGAACATATGCAGCTTTCTTTTTCTCATATTATGAAACATTGGAAACGTAACCCAGCCGCTCAACCTACAGCAATGGCAGGGAAAGTCCCTAATTCAAGGAATGTCCTTCTTAGATTTTACCCACCGCAATCAGCTCTTGGTTAGTTTTAATTATAGCTTTGTACAAATTTCCTATCGATATAGTGATATGTTAATTTATTTACTATAACTTCCTTAAAGAAGCTAATTCAAGAAAAAAGAAAGTATATGAACAACAGGAAAATGAAGAAAATCCATTGAGATGTCCTGTTAAACTATATGAATTTTATTTGTCGAAATGGTACGTTTGGATATAATGAGTAAACAAAGTAAAATGTTAAACTTAATTTATTACATTGATTTTAATGATATATTTCACATATTTTGCACTCGAAATATTTTAGCCCTGAAAGCGTTAAGACACGAAATGATGTCTTCTACCTATTGCCAGAACGCAGTTGCGTACCAGATAGTCCAGTATGGTATTCGACATCGCCCCTTGCAAAGGAACACCTCATCAAAATGTTATATCGTATTAAAATGGTTAAAGAAATTAATGTAGCTTTACTAACAAGTTAATTTCATATATTGATCTCTTGTATTGTTAAACAGTGATTTTAAAAAACAAGAAATACAATTAACTATTTTAACACTTTGACTGCCACACTTTGATAGTTCGAGCTTAATTCTGGGGTCTAAAATGTTTTTACACTGTATTGCTTGTTTAGCCATAAAGATAATCTCTCGAAGGGCTAGTATACAACTTAACAGAAAGATTACCTAGAATTAAGATTCGTATGTGCTTGGTTTTCAATAACAGATTTTCTTGAAAAACTACACTCGTATATGATGAGATGTCTGACTTTGTCCACTAAAACACAAGCACATGGATCAATAAATAAGACCGTTCAAAGTGTTAAAAAAACATGGTGAAAAAATGATTATAAAAATAGAACAAAAATGATGCGATACAGAAATGTAGAATTAAACGAATTTTCCAGTTACTATTGTATATTTTTCACTTCCCAATAAAAAAGTTTATTGGCCACAAGAAGTATCTAAAGTTACAAATATGTTAATACCATAGATATATATATATATAATTAATTAATTTATAT